CCACCTGAGCGAAGTGAGGAAAATCGTGCAAAGTGCCTTTCCCAAGGGCACAAGATCAGTCGCATGTCAGGACTCGAACCCGGGACCCCTCGATTCCGATTTGAGCACTCTGCCGCTACGCCACACGACCCTACATTTTCTTTCATTCATTTCATGGTATTGCCTACCCTTGGTGACACGTAGATAGTTTCCAGATTGCGGTCTTTCCCTTCAAATGGTCCATATCGTGACCGAGGTGACTACTGGGTCAGCAGTGGCGTGCTAATCAAATTTTCGGCGTTTGTACGCACACGTAAAAGCGATCTCTAAGTGATACCAAATAGATGACAGACAAGATGCCTGTGTCACTCCAAATGCCAGACGGGCAGTTAGCCGCCACCGGGGGCGCCACGGGGCTGTTCCGGCTGTTTAATCTGACGTTACCACTCCCCTGGGACGGTCACGCAATGACCTGACATTAACCAAATAGGTTACAGTCAATGTAATAGCTACACGGCTCGTAACTGTCAATAGCTGTAACGGCCGAGGCTAAAAGCTCTAACCAGCTTTGTAGCGGCTATAACGGATTAAGGCCATTGCCGAGCACGGTGCGTTTATGGTCGAAGGCAGTACAGAACGCGTACTTGAATGTATCACCGCTAACACAAATGTACACGGTCTGACATGCATCATGGGCTATCTCTTGATGTCTGCTATAAACATGTCGCTCTTATCAAGATGACCTTTCAGCACGGCGCGTGGAGATGGGATTTAAAGGCATCCAATGCAATTTTTAGGGCTTGGAAACTCGAATTTTCATAGCTAATATTCTAGTAACTTATCTACACATTGAGTTGAAACGACTCTTTTCCAATGGTATATTGACCTTCATGGAGCAAGAATACCCAAAGTTCTGACGGAAAATGGTAACTGGAAGGGCCCTTGGCTTACTTTTAGGGTACCACCCATAAAATAAAGGACTCATCCTGGGGCTTATTTCTGCAGTTTTAAATACCCAAAGTATGAGATTCTGATTGAAATGTGCTAATGTGAAGCAGCATGTGTTAATATCCTAAAGATCGCCCTATTCAGAATATTTCCATTTTTGCTGCCCTGAAATCGCATTGGATGTAAACATGCCGGTCTTATCAAGATGACCTTTCAGCACGGCTCGTGCAAACAGGCTTTAAAAGTCATCCAGTCACGCGGCTCGCTCCCCGCCCCGTACATGACTGATCTACCAGAGCGTGAGCGACAAAACCGTCCACACTCATATATCTAATGTTCCACCGTAATAGCTCTTATTCGATTTTCTTTAACATCTCGGATCCGCAGGCCCGTTGTCTGAATACCCCATCCATCAAAATAAACGGACACACTTAGGCTTACAGCGACTCTAGTGTAGCGAGACGGACGTGAAAGAACTGCTGAACGCTCGTGTGGAGTTGGCAGGAATGTGAAATCTTCGCTCAACAGATCTATTAGCTACTATAGTATGTGGCATGCCGCAGTGGTCACATCCGTTGTGAGTTGTCGCACGGTTTCTTTTCCAACATTTATCACCAGACATGGCGGCAGCACACTTTTCAGCTTATTTCTGTGCCCTCCAAGTCCAAGTCTGTGTCCACCAAGGCAGACAAGGGGGACAACAGACAAGCACACTCATTTTCACCTGAGTTAAGTGAGGAAATTGGTGAAAAGTGCCTTTCCCAAGGGCACAAGTGGCGTGGCAGGATTTGAACTCGGGATCTCTTGGTTCCAAGCCGAACGCTCTGTCGTTAACCCAACACGACCCAACATGTCTTGATGCCATGGGATTCCCCAGCAAGCTGTGACTGAATCGTTGGCCAAAATGGATCTAAGACGGCCTTTTCGGTACCAAGACGGCTACATCCTTTACGACACATACACAACTATGCCAATGATGTTCTCAGATTGCGATCGTGCGATAACCGTACGACGCTTGTCTGATCAGGCCCTTAGACGGGATGGTAAAAACGCGGGAATTGGAAAATCCCTACACTGTATATCACATATGAATAAGCTATATAATTCCTTTAAAAACATTCAATTTTCCAACACAAGTATCGGGACGCGGTTGTGTAAAAAAGTGGTTGTGAGTAAAGAACTTATTACTAGATATACAGTTGATGCCGAAAAAGGTATCAGCCAAAACTACGCAGACATTGAAAACGTTTTTGATAAATGATTAAACAGCTTTCATTTCAAGGTTCTGCGTAACTTGATTAATATAAGAACGTCTGTAGTTGTGTTATGCAGTACAAACTTCAATACTTTTGTGAGCAACTTTATAAAAGTAATGTTTAGCGTTGTGGAACCCATTCATCATTGTCAATGGCAGGCGGATCATATTTCCAGTCGCTAGAAGTTAATTGATCTTAAGTAACGGTGCTGTTATTCATCACAGAAATACTGCATTACAAAGAGTTGAAACAGTTCCAAAAGTACAATCAGCTATGCATAATCATCTTCGACATAGTGGGCAATTGTAGAACTATTCTACAAGATAGCATCCTGTCAAGTTATCTAAGTAAGTAATCAGTACATTAAGTCACTCTATAACTGCGAGAAGTAATAAAAAGGTTTTAGTCCGGACAAAGCTGACTTAATGTACAAGGTTCTTGCGATAGATAACATTTTAATTACCTTTCTGCAAGGAACGAGTCACTTTCCTACACTGTTCACAATTCACAGTTATCACCCTAAGCTGTGATTTCTATTTAATAACGTACAAAGAAGCTGTCCCTCTTCCCTTCGTCACCTTCAAACTTATTAGGGGCGCCTAAGAAAATTAAAGCGATCGTATCACTAAATGATGAGGCAAAAAGGAAAACTAATTACGTGATGCATTTTTCAAAGGCCTCCCCGGTCGTGTGTTATTAGATCTGCTGAGAGTGTTTGACTTCATTAGAGTCAGTAGATAAACATCTGGACTTGTTAATAAGTAGGAGGCTGCTGATATTGGGGAGTGCAGACGTCCCAGTGGTACTAACTAGATCAATATTTAATGTGGGGAGCACATAATCAGATCAGAGCCTTTTCTTTATCACTCTTGTGTGCTGTGAGAAACGCTCTGCCGAGCATGTAGGGCGCTGAACTTCTCCCTGGTGCATCGGCAGCGATTGCTCTACTTTTAAAACGATACTTTGTGTCCCAGTTCGTAGTTTTATGCACTACTTTATAGATATAGATATACATGTTCACATAAATAGATATACCACACCGCACCGCACCATGTGCAATGACTTAGGCGCGCCGTTTTCTTATCTATCTGGACTACGATTAATGTTTGTAAGCAGAAGCCATATTGTGCAAATTCTCTCATGGGGGAATGTTCGTTGTTTCGGTGTCAACTTTAAGACTCGACGTCTTTGCTATCTTTAAACGTTGCGAGCACATCGTGTATAGTATCCAGAACCGTGCCTATCTAGTTCTATGCATGAATGGGTTAGCGTTAGGATCTGGCATGGTCAATATTGTATCCAGAACCGTGCATATCTAGTTCTCTGCCTGAATGTGTTAGGGTTAGTATCTGGCATGCTTCTTGATAGTCTCCGCGTATCCAAGAACCCCGTGACACTGCGACACTGCATCACGCTACTATGTTGGTCTCTAGAGCACCAAAGCTGAGTTTGTTTCTAAAGCACCCGATGAGCTGTCCTAAAAAAGACTGACGCCTTCTGGCTCACGAAGAGTGCAGATTTACACATGTACATACAGTGTGGAGTATTATGCAGGATCGTAGATTTGGCCCAGACACGGTTCTGGATACGCGTTGACTATCCAGAACCGTGCCTGAGCTTGGTCCTGGATAAATCACGGTTCTGGATACAGCGTCGATTTCCTGACCATTCGTTCCAATTATTCTTCTGGATCGCAGTCCCACAAAGCAGCAGCATGCAACATGCGTGTACGGAACCTTGATCATGTGGTGCTTAAGCTTAGTTGCTAACAACGACATGTATCATAGTACTGCATCATCACGCTGCTACGTTGGTCTAAAAAGAAACGCCTGGGTTGTCCTAAAAAAGTGACGTCTTCAGGCTCACTAAGATTGCAGATTTACACATGTACAGTGTGGCGTATTCCGCTCCACCCCTGAGCACACAGAAGCAACACAGAAGCCGTCCTCATCCCCTGACCCCGGCTTTGTCCACATGACCCCGGCTGCTGTTTAATCTGCCGATTACGATTCCTTTTCCCGCCGGAATCAGTCATATTCTTCTCATCCCGACCTCCGAGCTGAACCTCAGCCTTCCCATTTCCTCATCCATTCAGCGCGACATCACACCTCTGGCCTCGTGTGTCCCGACAACAGGAGCGGCATCGCGGCAGCCAAATTAATTTTCAGTGCTCCTGTCCCTCACGGACTGATCTTCACCTGCAAGGCTCCGAGATTCAATTAGGCCGGAGTCGCCGCCGCCGCTGGGCTTATGTCGCTCAGATGCAGTATAAATTTGGGCTGACTTTCAATGGTCTTGTCTTTGAGCATTTGTACTAGGCGTAACATTACTATCAGTATAGTTTGCTTTTGTTTGTTGTTACCCGTCTTGACTGAAACTAAGTTATAACTGAATGTGTTTACCTACTTGTAATAGGTATAGCTATTAATATCAACCATCTCTCTGTGTCTCACTCGTTCATTCAGCCACTTGCACATTCAGTCTCTCTCCGAATCTCCTGATATATCTGTCTTTTACAACAGTTAGGGATACTTTTGGCCACCTGATTTTCTCATATAGCTACATCCATAAATGTTTACTGTTTAAGGGGCGCCTAATTTTACCATTAAAATGGGGAGCACCATTTTACGATTTTCTAACTCAATAAAGCATTTATAGTAAGACGTTGAGCTTTATTCCAACACACAATTTACACATTGATCTCTGTGTAAATTTTGTGTTCGAATAAAGCTCAACGTCTTACTATGATTACTTAGCTACCAGAACGGATGAACTTTCCTGATAATCTAATAAACCGTTTGTTTTCCTACTCTCCAGGGTCTCAGGCGCAGAGCGGGCTGGGGCTGAAGGTGTCCCAGAAGGAGGTCCGCACGATCCTGGGCGAGGCGGCAATCCTTCCCGCGTCCTACAACACCCGCTACAACATCCTCAGCCTCACCTGGTCCAAGGTCTGTATCTGTATCTGTTTCTGTATAGCCGGTATAACCGCCTTTCGGCGTAACACACCAGCTTCTGTATCTGTATAGCCGGTATAACCGCCTTTCGGCGTAACACACCAGCTTCTGTATCTGTATAGCCAGTATAACTATACCGGTATAACTCTAGACATTGTTTAAAGATATCTAATTACAACGCCCATCCTGTACTTGGTGACAGTGAATTCCACTCTGCGATAGTTCTAGGAAACAATGAATTCTTGTACACCACAATTCTTGGTTGGTACTTGAAGGCATGGCTATTTCTTGTTTTAAGTTAAAACTTTTGATCCAACACAAAGAAATCTCTCACCAAGAGCTTTCGACCAGTCACTCTGGTCTTCCTCAGTAGACTGACCCAGTGAAGCTTGTCACGTGGCTTCTTTGAAGTGTGACGTCAACACTGGGTCAAAGGTATCTGGTAGACGATGTCGGCCCCCGTCGCGGTTCAATGAAGGGTGATGTGCCCTGATGTATATGGCTTCCTTCACCCCTCTCAAGAAATGCTATTTCTTGTTCTCAAAGGTCACGGACAAGAACACGCGGACAGTCGTCTTCTTCTACAGCTCCTCCGTCCGAAAGGCTTACGAGTCGTACGAGGGCCGGGCGGACCTGTCCGGACACGCGTCCCTCAGGATTAACCCCACACGACCCGGGGACGGAGGGACGTACGTGCTCAGCGTCATGTCGGAGGAGCTCGGCAGCCAGGAGGATTCTGTGCAGCTCACGCTCATGGGTGAGGGGATTTTTTTTAATTAGCCGTTTGAAAATTAGATAGATAATTCTATCTAACTATTTAATCTTCAGACATCTATTACTATTTATTTATCTATTCGTCAGTATTTATTTATCTATTCATCAGTATCTATCTATTTATCTATTCACACACACAAAAATAGTAACAAGGACCGTGTGGCGCTACAGTCAAGTTTATAACACAAGAAAATACAATCATTTTATAGACTGATACCTTTGTAAATCACCTCGCAATTAAGCCCTCCACGGCTTTCTTGTATATCTTTCACTAATATCTAATTATGGTACTACTACTACTACTACTACTACTACTACTACTACTACTACTACTGCAATCAACATAATTATATATACACAGAGTTGACATTACGGTACGCCGAAGTCCCACCACCTTAAACAAGTTATATTGAACACGATGACTGATGACTGATTGACGAGGAAAACGTCGCCGTCAATGTAAGGATTACACATGAGGGGGATTTACTGCCGCACATACGCGGCACGGGTCTCCGATATTCCGGGGTTTACGGTCGTTATGGGGGAGTGAGCAGGATTCTGGGCGTCCTTGAAAAGATTTAGGCTGTATCCCGCGGGGTAAGGTAGGCAGGGCTTGGATGGGACAAGTTGTTTGATGTTGTATAACTGTCGTTTTCTGCGTTATGTTCGATATATAGGGTTTAGAAGGATATAGGACAAGCTGTGTGATGTATACGCCGTAGGACCAGCTATTGGGGTGGTATACGCCAAAAAGGTTATAAACCTGCATTTCTCCTCTGATCTCTTAGTGTCACTGACGAAAGGTAATGGATGCTACCTGAAACGTCTTACCGTTTCCAAAATCATACCCAGTTGCTTAGTACCTGGAGTATCTTATTATACCTGGATGTCTAACCTTCATCGACGTATACGTATTAGGGTGGTAATTTTACACATGTACATGGAAGGCTTCGGTGGGGCCAGTTCTATAACGAATCACTGTAGCGAAGATGATGCGTTACGTCTATTGACTAGTACAGTCAAGCAGTGTCAATCAACAGACTAGACCGTTTTGGAGGATAGTGCTACCCAATACCATCGTTTGCTATATCTGTTAAATGACTTGTAACATGTCACCTACGGTTCACTCTATCGAACAAGCTGATTTTTCATGCATGTTGACCACCAAAGTTGGTTCAAATGGTTATGTATGTAACTGTGAAAAAACGTTCATGGCAAATTTGAAATCAATGCCAAGTGCATCGACTCGATCTAAGACAGAGTCTCTCCTAAGGGTAAGGGCCTGTATCCACTTTACCTAAAGGCCAACAGCATTAGGTAGGTAATCTCTGTATATTATCTTGCTGATTGTGATCAATAGTGAATGACAATGAACTTTATTGCATGTTCACGCCCTACATGGGCCAAATGCACCAAGTAACTAATAGATAACTGAGGTAGGGTAGAAGCTCAGTTCAGTTCATCCTTCAGGTGACACCATGTACTGCCTCCACAAGTTCCTGTCACGCATGACCGAGGATAGTTCAGCACCGCCCAGACATATGTCCTCCCCGATCACCTTCTTAAAGATAAAGAAGGGCGACCACGTACGTAGAAGGAACAAGTGTAACATTGCTGTGCTACATCTATAATTACAGGATCTCTTCTCTCTTTTTGAAACATGTATGAACAAATTTACATTGTTTTCAATAGCGAATGTTGATTTTCTTTTCTTTCTACAAAATATAGTTCCACCAGAAGTAGAGGTTGGGCCGGCGAACCCTTATGTGGTGGAGTGGTAAAAGTCGGTGACTCTCACATGCACACTAAGGCACATCTTGCTGGTTCTGATCAATACTGAATGTTGACTTCTCTTCTTCTTTTTCTTTCTCCACCATGTAGTTCCACCAGTAGTAGAGGTTGGCACGGCGAACCCTTATTCGGTGGAGTGGGGGAAGTCAGTGAATCTGATGTGTACAGTCCGGAATATGGCACATCTTGCAATACTAAATGTTGACTTCTTTCTTTTTTTCCCCAAAATGTAGTTTCACCAGTAGTAGAGGTTGGCCCGGCTAACCCTTATTCGGTGGAGTGGGGGAAGTCTGTGACGCTCACGTGTACAGTCTGGAATAAGGCACACATCTTGCTGGTTCTGATCAATACTGAATATTGATCTCTTCCTTTTTATTTTCTTCCATATGTAGTTCCGCTAGTAGTAGAGGTTGGCCCGAACCCGTACGCAGTGGAGTGGGGGAAGTCGGTGACTCTGACTTGCACAGTGCGGAACGCCAAACCCAACACCACGTCCTTAGCGTGGTTTAAGGACGGTTTTACTATGATTACTACCAACACAGATGAACTTTCATGATAATTATTTCTTTTTTCCACCATGTAGTCCCACCAGTAGTGGAGGTTGGCTCGGCGAACCCTTATGCGGTGGAGTGGGGGAAGTCGGTGACTCTCACGTGTACAATCCGGTATAAGGCACATCTTACTGGTTCTTAACAATGCTGAATGCTAATCTCTTTTTCTTGTTTCTTTTTTTATGTAGTTCCGCCAGTAGTAGAGGTTGGCCCGGCTAACCCTTATGCGGTGGAGTGGGGGAAGTCGGTGACACTGACTTGCACAGTCCGGAACGCCAAACCCAACATCACGTCCCTAGCGTGGTTTAAGGACGGTTTTACTATGCTTACTACCAACACAGATGAACTTTCATGATAATTCTTTCTTCTTTTTTACCTCCAAATGTAGTTCCACCAGTAGTAGAGGTTGGTCCGGCTAACCCTTATGCGGTGGAGTGGGGGAAGTCGGTGACGCTGACTTGCACGGTCCGGAACGCCAAGCCGAACATCACATCCTTAGCGTGGTTTAAGGACGGGATTCCCATAGAGCGGACGAGCGGGATGGACATGAAGTACCACACGGGCTCCGCCAGCGCTCCGTTCCTCACTATCAACAAAGTGACGCGCGCAGACGCGGGGACGTACAGGTGTGCCGTGGAACACGTCGTGCAGAGGACGGGCGCAGAGCTCAGGCTGGACGTACTGTGTAAGGAAAACTTTTTTCTACCTTAAAGTCTTTATCTTAAAACATTCAGTTTTCTATTTGTGCGTGTATGGTTGTAAATGTTTGTGGTGCAGAGGACGGGCGCAGAGCTCAGGCTGGACGTGCTGTGTAAGGAAAACTTTTGTATCTTTTAAGATAAAGACTTTAAAAAGTTTGCTATTTGTGCTCTTATACGTGTATGGTTCTAAGACAGGGGCAGAGCTCAGGCTGGACGTACTGTGTAAGGAAAACCTTTTTTACCTTAAAAGTCTTTATCTTAAAAATAGTCTTAATCTTAAGTGTCATCGTGGCAAGTCTAGACATGTTGCTGGCAGTCATGATGCCCCTACGACCGTCGTTATGGGATCTACTAGTACTACTACTACTTTATCTTAAAAATTCAGTTTGCTATTTGTGCTGTTATACGTCTATGGTTCTAAATGTTTGTGGTGCAGAGGACGGGAGCTGAGCTCAGGCTGGACGTACTGTGTAAGTTTCCTACTGGTATTTTTACACAGTATTTTCAAATAATTCCATGTCTTGACCACGTCAAAGGCCCTCGACTTTTTTTGCCCATATATGTATATGGGCTCCGCAGTACAAGGGTTTTGTTAAATGATGTCCTATACCTGACGCTACATCGAAAAATATTCATATTGGATTATTTGCCACTCTCCTTTGTATTATAAGTAGAAAAGGACGTGTTCCATATGGGGTCAAAGTTCAAGGTCAGATACAAAGGTCAAAGCTACCGCATTGCGACGATTATCATATCAAAATCTAGTCGAAAGACACCCTACTTTTCAAAAGCCATAATGAGAATTTGCCACCTCAGTAGGTGGTACCAATATGTACAAAATGGTCCGTGCCGTATTCGTGTATCGTTTCGACCATGTGCACTGGAAAAATAGCTTAGTTAAAGCTCCAATGGATCTGAATAAAGCTCACTTTAACTCATCTTAACTCTCATCTCACTGATACAAAAACAATTCTCTGTTTTAACGCTGACGATCTAGATTTACACCTTTAAACGCTCACACAAACCAATGAAACTAATGGAAAATCAATAATACACATTTCAAACTAATCTAGCTAGATGTGTATACGTTATGGGTGGTCCGGGAATCTACTCAGTAATGAGCTACTTATTGTCCTTTCCATCGTTGTTATTAGCATGTACCAAGGCAATGCAATCACTATTTATCTCTAACAGTTCATTCAGTTCGCTTCAGTCAATATGAACATGTCATGGGTCATTGACCTCTGTCCAGACTGTGTTTCTATCATTACCAGGCAAATCCTGGGGTTAGTCACGGTTGATTTGTCTCCAACAGGCCACTTTTTCCTGTTTGTTCAATATTGGTCAATATGTACCTTTGAATCCATACCATTTTATGTCATTATTTATTGTTCTGTCATTATTATTTGCATTTGGACAGACCACAAATTTGCTGTGTGCTGCACATGGTATAAAGAATTATTTCAATTAAGTGCCTGTATCTGTATCGGTATAGTCGGTATAGCCCTTCGTAACACACAAAGTAAAATCCACTCAATATTAAAAAAAGTAATTATTCTAATTTCTTACAATCCATATAAAATTGGTGTTTACTCCACCCCCAGATCGTGCTTCTATCATCAGCATATCTAAAAGCCAGACGGCCTGGGTGTCAGACGACGTGACGCTCCAGTGTGTAGCTGACAGAAACCCCCCTCCCAACATCTCCTGGTCGCGCAAATCCACTCAATACTTAAAATAATTATTCTAATTAGTTACAGTCTTTAACAGTCGCGGTCAAACACACAGCACTACCAGCAGACTAGCCCCCTGCCTCTCACAATTGTGTGTCGCCCAAGGGCTACGGAAATGGAGATGGGCACCACCCTACGCTCTGCATAAGAGCATGGGAGACCTTCCTTCCTTCCTTCCCTCCCTCCTTAACATTGGTCTTTGTACTCTTCTCAGACCGAGCTTTTATAATCAGCATATCCAAAAGCCAGACGGTCTGGGTGTCTGACGACGTGACGCTACAGCGTGTGGCTGACGGGAACCCCCCTCCCAACATCACGTGGACGCGTAAATCCCACTCAATATCTAAAGATAATTATTCTAATTAGTTACAGTCCATATCATTGACTTTTCTTCCTCCCAGACCGAGCTTCTATTATCAGCATATCCAAAAGCCAGATAGCCTGGGTGTCAGATGATGTGACGCTACAGTGCGTGGCTGACGGAAAGCCCCCTCCCAACATCACCTGAGCTCCACTCAATATTTAAAAAACAATCATTCTAATTAGTTACAGCCCATAACATTGGTGTTTATTCCTTCCCTAGACCGAGCTTCTATTATCAGCATATCCAAAAGCCAGACGGCCTGGGTGTCAGACGACGTGACACTACAGTGTGTTGCTGACGGGAACCCGCCTCCCAACATCACGTGGACGCGTGGCGGGCTGGTCCTGCCGTCCAAGATCCACCGGCTGTCTAACGACGTGCGCGCCTGCTCCGTCACTGTGCGCAACATCCAGACGAACGACACCGGCACGTACCTCTGCACCGCCGACAACGGCGTCAAGGAGAGCGACATCAAGTCCGTCGATCTGTCAGTTAAGGGTGAGGATTTTCCTTATATTACTAATGCCCAGCACCAAAACACATAATGAAGCAAGTTTGAACTGCATGTAATGGCCAACACAAAAAAAGTGGACTCACCCAAATTTTCGACTGTACAACTCCAGTCTTTGTCATTTGACTGCGACTCATGACAATTGTTCATTCCTTGACGAAGACTGGAGTTGTATACGTACAGTCGAAAATTTGGGTGAGTCCATTGTTTCATAATGACTTCTCACGGAGATGAACTTCCAAGATACCAAAACACATAGACTATAGTCAAGGGCATTGCTAATTCCTCCTACAGATAGACAAGACATAAATTTCATGAGTATTAAAGGGTCTCCCATGCCGTCTGTTTGCTCCCAAACTATCAGTTAAGGGTAAGCATTTTCCTCATATTAGCAATGCCCATGGTCCCGGGCATTGCCCTGCAATTCCCCCTGCAGTTAAAAAAGAGATTTTAGACTTCAGGAGTTTGGGAGGGCCACCCATTTAAGGGTAAGTATTTTAGCTTAGTCTGGGACATTACCAATTACTTTTATAGCTGAACAAGACAATGTAGACTTCGGGGAATTATTGGAAGGTCTCCCATGTCGACTGCTGTCTCCCAATCTGAACCACTTTCTGTTAATGGTAAGCATTTTAGATTTTTAGACTTTTGACCTCCAGTACATGTCATTCTGCCGGACAATCTTCCCCCCACCATGTGCTGTCGACCTCCAGAAACACAAATCCACAGCTCAGCCCCTAGAAAAATACCGTATCCTGAATGACTTCATGAATGCAGCAAGATGTAGAGCAGTTATTTCTGTACTTCTCAGTGGCTGGTCTTATTAAGTCTAGTCTTTCTCCTTTTGGCAGTTGCTTTCGTAACGCAGACGGATTTATCAAATCCATACAACGTTATCTAATAATTGGAGAGGTAAAAAGCATATCAATCAGTCCCTCTGCATGGGATTCCTTTGCTTTGCTTTCCTAGTCACAAGAAAAATTGCGTTCCTCTGACGGCGACTCACGACAATTGTCAATTTGCTTGTCTCGGGATGCAGTGACGCACTGACGGCGTAATTTAACGTTTCCTTTCTTCGCAATTTCAATCATTAAAAGTTCATGACGGTTATGCCATGGCTTCTTACAGCTCGTCGGAGAGGCACCCCGTCGTCGACGCTGGCAATTATCGTGGGCGCTACCGCGGGAGCCCTTTGGCTCATTATCTGTGTCGGTCTGTGCGTCTACATCCTGCTGAGGCGCCGGAAAGAGAAGGAGAAGAAGAAGTTCGCGTTTTACTACAACATGGGACGCCGTGATCCGCCCGCGGGAAGTAGTCCCAAGCGGGACGAAGACGGTGAACCGCCCCCTTACGCCGCACTACCAGGTGGGTGGTATTTTTTGTTTGTTTGTTTGTCTGTTTATTGGGAATCTCCATTAGTTATACAAGCTGTGTATACTAATCTTCCTGGAGTCCTTTCACATAATAAAATACATACAATTATCAACTTAATAGTTACAAAAGATTCAACAACATTATACATAACAATTGCTTAACAAGAACAAAAAAAATTACTAAGTACTTATTAAATTTACTTATACTTCTAACAACAACAAATATACAAGTTGTGGAGAGGTCTCCGCTAGACGTTTCATACAGTACAAGTGAAATGACTCTGTATAGTAACAATGTAAGTAAAATGACTCAGTATTACAATAGTAACTGCAAGTTAACTGACTGCATATGTGCAAGACTTAGTAAAATAATTTTATAGTAACAGAAGACTCGATGCGTCGATGAACGTTAGACATCCAGGTAACAGGATACGCCAAAAACAGTTACTCAAGCAGCTCACTCAACTTTATTTATTTGCTCATCATTTAAACAAATGTACAACAGCAGGGGGAGCAGAAGCGCATCCCCCTGAATTAGGTACAATTTGTCACATTATTTCTGGATATGATCTTGGAAACGGTCAGACGTTTCAGGTAGCATCCACTACATGTCGTCACTGACAGTGCAGAACTTGTGCAGAAATGCAGGTTTATAAGCAAGAACTATTGATTGGTTTGTAAATAAATGAAGAAAAATCATTATAACCACTAGTTTGTAATAGTAACATTTTAACGCCAGGCAGAGACTTTCACCTAAGTATAGGTTTCCTTAAGCATTGGCTGCTTTCATGATTCATAATCACACACACAACTGCATAAGACGAGGTAACGACAACAAAACAAAATGTAACAAAGCAAAGCAGAACACATTTACTCACCAAGCAGAGGCTAATTGCGACCTTCTTCAATATTCTATTTGTTTGACAGCCGACCCAATCGTGTGGCCTACATCAGCTATTGGATAGTTATTGCTGGTTAATCACGACTCTACCATCGACAAATTTGCTAGGAGATGAAAACAAATCGGCTACCAGTGGCGTGCAGTTTCCTACTGCTGAGAAACGGCACTTCCAGATCAAAAGATCAAGAAATTGAGTGCCGGATTTCGGAGATCCTTAATCCAGCTTGTATAGATTGTTGAACTCGTGTGATGCATGAAGACCATTTAGCTTCAGAAAACCGTTCATTGTTCACGGGGTGCCCTTTACTGAAGCCCTAAACACACCACTGGGGTTATCTTAATATTTCAATATTTGACCTAGCAGAAAATATTATCGGTATGCTTTCCTTGGATGCATAGGGACTTTCCAGGTATAGATTTTGACTAACAAGGTTTATACATACTCAGAGTGCAAATATCGACGAAGCAATAGAAGGGAACAGCACTCGACCTGGTTTGTCCATAAGGTCTTATTGATCGCCTTTGGCGAGGCATCGTACAGACGGCAACGCACCAGCAGCAGTAGCCAGACCCATCACTCATACACTACCGCCTTTCACGGCCTTCTGAAAAACCTTCTGAAAAGGGTGTGGAGCCCCTGTGTTGGTTCTGATTGATACTTTTAATGGTAATCCTTATCGTACACGCTCAGGCAGCAAAAAAGCCATACGTCAATGTCAGGCCGAGTTTCTGACCCTTTCTCTCACCCCCAGCCAAGCCGGTCGGATCTAAGGCAGCTCGGGCAGGCATCAACACCATGAGAAGAACTGCTGAGCTTAAAGGTGAGAAGATCTCTCAGTATAACTCTTATAAGAGGGCCTACATGGGGGTAGGTAGTGATTACGAATTACGCAAAATTTTCGCCGCCGATTACGAATTACGTTAAAGTCTCAGAGCTGATTACGACTTTACGATTTGCGGCTAATGTCCTATTACGAAATAAAGTACGTTGATTTTTGCGGAGGCTGCCTACGAATTACGAAGTCTAAAAAAGCCTGATTACGCCTTACGAAAAAAGGGCATGCAGACCCTTTTATAACAACGTTCTGCTGGGATGAAAGATGGCTTATAAAGGGGTGCTTAGAGGGAAGAGTTATGCCGGTATTATTCACTGCGCTTTAATGTGTGTGCTTAGAACTGTGAAGTGTTAGCTAATAAATCAGACTTGCTGGTAAGCCCCTGGCCTGATGGCATCTCTGAACGCTGCACACACCTGGGTAATGAAAGCTATCGGAGCCACTTACGCGTCGCCGTTTAATGTTGCATACGGGAGGTGATTACCCGAAATGATGATTCAATTCTTTTCATGACACTGAGCACGGGATTTGATGACGGCCGTATGTTCATCTAGCTCATTGTTATGTAGCCTCTACCAGGCTTGAGGGCGCGGCTGGAAATAGTAGAAATTGGCCAAATAGAGAGATACCACGCCGAGGGAGTTAGCCATCCAGTTTACAGTTTGCCGGCCC